TTTTATTTAATTCTAATAATGTTCAACTGACTTGAATTAATTCGATCAGTTAGACTAATAACTTGCAAAAGTTAATATTGAAATGTTTTCGCTGCACGCAAGCTAATGTCATATTTAGTTGACTTTCCACTCGTAATGTACCGGTAATTAAGTGAAAGCTAAAATTGAGGGTATATAAAAGGCTACGATCGTAAGCCTGGAATTAATATTCACATTTGAAATTTTTCTTACAACACATTACACACACGCATTTTACTGGTGTATACCTATTACAAATTCGCAAGAAATCAATTGGACTACGTAGCTATTAGCTAAAGTAGCAATAGGTACGCGAAGCTTTGAACATTTTTGACATGGAAGATGCTTTTCGGTCTGGTCGTAATTCATGCTGAGTTCGATTTAATCAAGAAGTTTTCTAATTAATAGAAAACGTAGGTAATATTAAGCGTTTTGATTGTCTCCAGGCATTGATGAAGACGAACGGAACACTTTATCCCAAGTTGATCCCATCAAATTTTTGTCTCGCTTATAATTAAGAAAGAGCTGACAAAAAACGCGGAGGTTTTCGCTCGCTCGGAACACTTTAAAACAATTCTTCCACTTGCTCGTTATATACGCTATACATACTTCTCAGACATCGTGGCAATTCGTTACTGCGCAGCAGAGACGTTTCGGAAAGTTGGCAACACTCATGAGGAAGCCCCAGAGACCTTACGATTAAGCATTTAAGTCTATTCTTTTGTATAAGGTCTATTACAAATATGACAATATCAGCTTCAAATTTGGCAAAAGAATTGGAAATTCCTGCGGACAGGTTAAAATAGAAGGCGGCGAAGGGCTGAATAAATTAAAAGGCACTCGCTGAGTAAAACGTAGGCTCAGAACATTTTCAATAGTCCAAAAAAGCTGACTGTTTCGCTTGTTATTCGTAAACTACAAGATGCGTATATGCTCTTGTACAGAGTACCTTTGTGAAAAAAAGAAAAAAACGGCTACATTCACTGATTGTGTGTGATGCGTATATAAGATTCGCTCACAGCCTAATTGCTTGTTTATTTGATGGAGATTGATGATTCATTTTTCATTGTTGATTGGTTGTTGATCTTACCACAATTTCTTAAAAAATTGAATGTAACAAAAAGATACAAAGGATACACGATAAGGACATATACCGCTGCCCTTATAATCTTGTCAAGACAAAGTAAATTAAAGGGAATTCATTATATGCTAGCCATTGATCAATATTCACAAGCAAGGATTTTTTGTTTCTATTCTCTGAAAGAGTTTTAAGAAAATCATGCGAAAGTAAATGACGAAAATCAAAAAAACAAATCTACGTGGGAATTGAACCCGAGAGTGTTCTTTAGTAATAGTTTTTATGTAAATTTTAACTTGAACTTAGCGAGAATTGAGTTGAGTCAATGCGCCAGATGGAAAGAATAATTTGTTTTTGAACTTGATATCATAGTATTATTGAACAGTACTTTTTCCCCCCATAACAATGAGTAACGAGTAATAAACGTTAAAAAAGAATCATGTTCACAACGAGGGCTTTCCCCGCTCTCTGTCTCTAAAAGACGTGTTACACGTTTTACAGATTTCATACAATTATTTACTCTGATGAACTAGCGAAGGGTCTCTCAGTAAATTGCAATTCAGTTACAATTTAAACTTGAACGGTGCTGGTTGGAAAGTGCAGAAAAAAAAAAACAATAAATTAATTAATACAAATTGTTTTAAGCGTATTACAACATTTGACGCTTAATTTAAAATAAATGAATTTTTCACAAATTTTTCACTAACAAGCAATAAAATTAACAAGCAATAAGTATATCTGACTAACAAATGAGATCCAGGAAAGTAAAACAATTGAAATGACATTAACTTATACCACTTGTGGTACACGGATGTGTTAAGTTTGTGTAGATGTATGCAACATCTAAAAGGACTTGGGATTAACCCATCTTCTATTATACCGGTTGATTTCGCATCATTTTCTCAATCAATCTCATCATGTACGACCGTCCGTCCATCTTGTATTTTTTGAGATATTCTGACGAAAATTCATACACCGATCTCTTTTAACTCAAGGATGACTGATATTGACAATGGATCGGAACGGACCGCATTTTCGACCACTTTCCATATATCGCCTTGTCATGAAGAATCATTAGATGAGTACCCGTACTAAGCGAACTAGTATAGGGTATTTAATGAAGGCCGTAGCTCACTATGATCTTTTCACTTGTTTCAAATAACAATTTGATAATCATCACTGAACGCTAAGGATATGTTACATGCACATATGGCCATTTCGTCATTCTGTGCAGAACGCAGTAGCAAAGCTGGACTATGTCAACGTTCTCTCCATCGTTCTCTTTTATTCTAGATTCCGCAAACGATTTGCTAATTTGTGTCAGTCTCAAGTAATAAATTTTATAAATGTCTATGCAATTCGCTTCCCTACAAATGGAATATTTGGTGATAACGTGGAGAGATGCGTAATAATACGCTTCCTGCGAAGATGTCACCATCAGAATATGAACTCGAAAGGATATTTACTAAATTTACTATTGGGTGGCAAAAGTTTTTTACTATGTGCAAGAATGAATCGACTTGAAATTTATTATCGACATTTATTTGAGCTACTGACAGGCATAAGCGTATACACGTATGCTTTTGGGAAATATCGAAAATCCACGATAACATAGGCAACTTTTATAATGAATGCTTGTGACTTTCATAACTCTACCATTTTTAAATAGTACTCACTGACTTACGTTAAAGCTTAGGTGTTTAACAACACACAATATATTTCGATCACTATGACATATGCGAAAGATTCGCATTAGGTTGTGTGGAAAAGAGGACATCTTTCATAATTCCTTATCTAAATATTTATGTCATTTTTTAAGATTTTTGCAGACAGATTAATTCAAGAGCTAAAGGCATTCTCTGATATTACGTTGTTGGGAAAGAAGTTAGAGTTAGAGTTTATCGACCAAAAAAAAAAAAAAAATAAATGCCAAAGCAGTAAACACCAAGTGAGGAAATTGCAAATTTTATCGGTATTCTAATTGATAAGTATTTCGTTATCTTAAGAGCGTCGAACGCTCTTGCATTAACGAAATTGAAGTTACATTCGTTTGTATTTCTCTGATGAAGGATGGCGGTGCAACCAATTTATTTTTCAAGAGCACACATCAAACATGACATTTAAGATTTCTAACTTTTAGTAGCTTTTTATGTTTGGCATACTAGATGCTGTTATTCTACCTTAAAGTGGCATCGTTCCATGCCATGTCGGCAACGATCTTCTTACGAAATTCTTTACCCTTCCGTGTCTACCTAAGAGCATTTATTATCAATTTTCATTTGGGAAGAAATTAAAATACACAGGATCCAAGAAGTGCATTAAAGTCTTAAGGGCAAACTATAGTATGTTGTAGCTGTTACATCTGCCCAAACTAACCTATTGGCAAGTTAAGCCCGAGAAGTTGTTTGTCTTGCTTAAAGTAAAAGAAACTTTTAATTATGATATTAAAAGCAGCAAAATTTTATTAATTTGAATATATTTTTGCAGGACTGCATTAAATGTGGTCACGCCACACAAAAATCCTAGCTTTATAGATGATCAAGGTCGATACAGCGTTAATGAAAATGACAACAGTTTCAGCTATCCGAGCAGCCAACCTTCGTCATCTAGAACAAGAAGCGTCGAACATGAGGTGAGCTAATAATAAACCAACAAAAAGACAAAAGAACAAAGTTATTAGAGCATAACTTAAGGATTTTCTTAAATGCAAAATAATATAATATTGACAAAGTAATATAATGTTTTTCATTTCTTTAGTTATCAAATCTAGGTAGTGATAAAGCATGTCCAGAACGCGATACTTGGGGTAAAGGCATTGAATGCCTTTTATCATGCGTAGCACTCTCAGTGGGTTTGGGAAATGCTTGGCGATTTCCTTTTACTGCTTTAGATAACGGAGGTGGGGCTTTTCTTATACCCTATTTGGTAGTGTTGTTCGTAGTCGGCAGACCTATTTATTATTTAGAAATGATTATTGGTCAGTTTTCCGGTCGCGGCTCAGTAAAAGTTTATGATCTTTGTCCAGCTATGAGAGGTAAGCGCACGTAATACTTCTGAACATGATATTTTGATGCACCTATGCGTACATCATTTTCTTCATTCATTCACATGCAAACAATTGTAGCTGCAAGCATTGATTAGTGTATTAACCTCTTCATGATCATAATTTTCATAAGAATAGAAAGCCCTTTGGTACTTTTCACAATCGTAACGTCAAATAGAGATTCGTTTAACATCGGTTGCTTGAAGTTAGTTTACAATTTCAAAATTATGCAGATGGCGTTTTACATTTATATATATTTTATGTTTGACTTTTGTATTTTAAGGTATTGGCGTGGGTCAAACATTTATGATATTCTTAGTAGGGACCTATTATGAAGCAATCTGTTCTCTTATACTCAACTATTTCGTGCAATCATTTCGTAGCCCGTTGCCATGGGCTTATTGTAAGGCGGAATGGAATTCAAATTGCATAGATTCAGCGATTGTCAAAAAATCGAAGACAAATCTAACCGAATTATGGCAACAGAAGAGATTAAGTGATGATAATCGCACTATCTCAAGTTCTGAATTATATTTTATGTAAGTGTGATTATGTTAGCTGGATTCCATAACGATTTCTTTAAGCATCTTCCATCTACAGCAAAGAAGTATTAAGGGAGAAAGAAAACATAGATGACGGCATTGGTGCACCAAATTGGCAGCTAGTAGTGGGTTTATTCATATCTTGGTTCTGTGTCTTCGTGGTGATAATACGCGGTGTCAAGAGTTCTGGAAAGGCTTCGTATTTCTTGGCCATATTTCCTTATGTTATTATGATTGTGTTATTGATTCGCGCTTTAACTTTACCTGGTTCATTGGATGGCATTCTGTACTTCATAAAACCGCAATGGAATAAAATATTGGATCCCGAGGTATGAGATATTTTTCATTAACACTACACCGTATAGCTTAAAGCCTCGCAATAAGGCAGCAAGTAACAGTTGTAAGATCGCTTGGTAGCGTGGAAGGGCCAGCTGCAAGCCTTAGAATACAGAGCATTTCATAGGTTATACGGATATACTAGTAATAGATTAAAGCAGTCATTTTGCAGCTACTGACCGTTAGGATGGAATGAGTTGCGCGATAGAGACTTCGTAAGGTTATTATTACTTCGCCAACTGCCATCGTGTTTAGGTTGGAATATATCAAATACGAAACCAGTAAATGTAGACTTACTTAAAAGAAGATATGTTTCCAAGAAAGATTGTTGCAGACATCGGTGAAGGGGTTCCATTTGTAATAAAACATCATAGCTTCTATAGACAAACTCTTTACTCTTGATTTGTTTTTTTTATCAATACTACTTTTATTACTCAGAGATTGGCTTTTAATTTCTTGGTATTCTACTTAATACAATTTGTGTTGAAAAATGCCGCTCATTAACTTATTATTTTATTCTCTACCTAGGTTTGGTATGCTGCCGTTAGTCAATGTTTCTTTTCTTTAACGGTATGTTTCGGTGCCATTATCGTCTACGCTTCATATAATAAATTTGATCACAATGTTTATCGTGATGCCACCATTATTACGGGATTAGACACTTTCACTTCCTTACTAGCTGGCTGTACTATATTTGGAATCATTGGTCATCTGGCTCATGAAGTCGGTACCGATGATATTGGTAGTGTGGTTAAGGGAGGTGCGGGATTGGCCTTTATCTCTTATCCTGAAGCTATAGCCAAATTTCAAAGTTTACCACAAATTTTTTCGGTTCTATTCTTTCTCATGTTATTTATTTTGGGAGTTGGCTCGAACATAGGGATAGTCTCGTGCAAGGTTGCAGCGATAAAGGACAATTTTCCCAATGTCAAACAATGGCAATGCGCTCTGGGCATAGCACTGCTCAGTTTTTGTATAGGATTAACCTACGTCACCCCGGTGAGTTTTCATATTTTATAGAAACGTCTCTCTTGAAAACATTATATCAAGGTCATCATGGAATTGTTTAGGGTGGTCAGTTTTTATTGACTTTGGTGGATTATTATGGTGTTGCCATGATGAGCCTATTTTTGGGAATATGTGAATTGTACGTTTTGGGCTGGGTGTACGGAGTGAATCGACTATGCAAAGATGTAGAATTCATGATAGGCCGTAGAGTGGGTCTCTACTGGCGTGTGTGTTGGTCAGTTATTACACCACTCATAATGACCGTAATCTTAATTTACTTTCTGTCAACTTACACACCCTTAACTTATAATAATAAAACCTATTCTAACGGAATGTATGGTGAGTTCATATTGTTATTCATAAAAGAGATTATCTTCTAATTATTTACTTATTTTTAGCCTTTGGTTGGATTATAACATCGGTAGGCGTCTTACAAATACCCATATGGTTAATTGTCGCTGTTGTACGCGATCCTGGTACAACGTGGCGGGACAAATTTTTTAATGCTTTTAAACCTAAAAATGACTGGGGTCCTAGAGATCCCTTGCGAAGACAGGAGTATAACAAAGAAGTAAATGAAGACGCTAAACTAAATGAGGGGCTAGACTGCTGGGGCGAAATTAAAAAAAATATATTTGGTTAGAGACCTTCCAGCTGTCCGAGCACTTTCATAAAAAAAAATATTCGGGGGTGCAGTTCATCATTCATTTCTTAACCAGCATTTTCAAGTGTTCTCAGTATTAATCAATCACTCAATATAAAGCTTAGCAGATATTCAAATTAAAATCGTTTGAATTGATTTGTGTATTCATTAACTAATTGTGCGTAATCGAACCTCTGGTTTTTCAGAGCAGTAAGACATAAAATTTATGGAAAAATAAAGTAAACAACTGAATTTTTTTTTAAGTACGAGCATTATAATCGGGCAAAGCCCTGTAAAAATTCGCTTAAAAATTTTCCTTATTTAGGTTCCTATTAAAAAATGTTAAGAAGGGGACTTTGTCTTCATGTAAAAGCGTGCTTTTCATAAGAGTCCTTAGATGGGACTCAAAACGGGAACGAACACGGCCCTAATTTAGCTCTTGTCAAAGCACTTATTATTCTTCAATTATTTTGTTTGTGAAGTAAGAAAAATTAGCCTTGTTTTGGCAAAGGTGGTCTTGTTTTTAATAAGAAACTTTACATGCGCGAAGGAGTAGAAACGAAAAGAGCTGCGTGTTACGGTTAATGTTCGTGTCAAGCAACTGCTATGGAACAATTGTCAGAATAAATTAAAAATAAGACCTTTTTAGTGGGTGAAGGCTTACCACTTGTAGCAACGCTCATGATGGGGCGACGTCAACGTCATTCAAATTTTCCACATGAATTTAGAATACTACTACTCAGTAACTCCTGTCGTGAAATTTTCAAAATTGCAAACCGTTAGTTTCCAGGATTAAAAGGGTCGCCCTTCTTAATTATTGTCTGGACATTGACAATCATCCAGTAAGTTAAGAAAGGGCAGGCTGTAAGTAATGTAACAGCACATTTTTTTGTGCTATGGTAAAGATGCCATCTGGCCTTGAAGTTTGGCGAATGTCGCGATTGCCAAAGAGTTCTTTAACGATCCTCATTCGAAAGGATAATGCAGGAATCGAGCATATATCTTCCTCAAGCGGATGTAGTGGTTGATAGCTATGCAGTTAATAGAGGTTTAAAGCAAACATTTCAACAAACATATTAGCTTTCACTGTCAGATTAGCTATTATTATATTATATTATTAACTCTTTTCAGGAACGATGACAAGCTCTTACTGCTTTTTAGTGCGGCAAGAACCTTGACATTTATATAAAGTTTTCTCGCAACTGATGTCATCCAGTTATAGATTGTTTGCGAAGCAGATTGGCTTGGTCGTTGAAACTTAAGAGCCCAAGCTATAAATAGTTCCTCTTTGGACCTGATTGCCGGGTTTGTCATCTATGTTTTTGTTTTTTGTCGAAAAGATAGAAAGAATGCGATGAATGGAAGGAACAAGTTCTATGCATAATTATATTTTGTATCATTGTATCATGAAATGCCTGAAGAAGTTGTAGTTATGGCTCTGCTCAACTTGGCTTACCGTATTTGAAAATCTCGCTTTTCAGGAAAACTCTGACATAAGTTAGTGTGTAAAAAGAACATAGAAATTGTTCAGTGGTGCGAGTTTCTGATAGCTGCAAGAATATTATTTGCCGCGAAGAAAGAAAAAGGACTAAGGGCTTTTTATCAACGCTCCAATGCATTTGTTGGTTCAATAATAGGCTGTGTGAAGTAGTTGTCAAATTTCGTAACATTTGCGTCACGTCCATCTGGAGTTATATGGGTCGAATTACGGCGCCAACTTGTACTCTGGAAGTAGACCGCAACTACAATTTCACTATCAGAATTTTGGGAAAGTGTGGAAGAGATTGCGTTGTCCAATGCGTCGACGTCATTACTGCATTTTGTCCACACGAAGGTAAATTCGGGATACGGGATCGTGTATTACTTTTGCCGTCTAAACATTACGCGCAACCTCAAGTGCGAGGACAGACGATCGGCAAAATTCACCGGAAAAGATCCTTGAGGATACGGTTTATATATAAATTTTTGCTTCAACTCAGCAAGCGTTGAACTGAATCAATGCATTAAAACGGGCAATAAAGATAGTTATAATAATCGCGTTTCCCCTTACGCCCACCGAGGCAGTAGTAAAAAGTTAATTTCAAAACGTAATCTTACAGTATCATTGAGCAGTAACTTTTTCCTTGCCACTTAATGGTGATTGATGAGTAATAGATATTAAAAAAGAATTTTATTAAAACCGGTGCTTCTTGATAGATGAAATGAAGAAAAGTTGTTTCAAGCGCATGACAACAATCAACTCACAATTTTAAATTAATAGATTCTTGAACAAGCTTGTCCTTAATAGGCAATAAAATTAACAAACAAGTTTATCTGATTTCAGCATATATTTTCAACCTAAGTACAAATGAAATCCAGGAACGCAACGTAGCTTCAGATTTACTTCAACATATTATTGTTCTTTCAATTTTATAAACCCCTCTGAACGCCAAGGTTATTTTAGATTGAATTATCTTGTTTTGTTCTTAAACTTAACTGTCCACTTGTCCTTGCATCGTATATTTTTTATCAATGCTCGTACCCTATCCCCATGAGCAATAAATTATGCAGACATTTGTGGTGATCTAATTAAGTAGATTTTATATTTCTCTCAGCTAGTAACGGAAGGTTCACTGGGCGGAAAAGTCCGTTCACATCACAGCCCATTCATGATAGAAGACATATTTCTTTTTTTATTTACTAAAGTGTCGAAAGCCGATCAGATATTAATTATGTCTGAGAATGACTCGATTTAGTTTCATTTGACATTTATTATGAACATTCACTGGAGCTATGTGAACAAAAGACAGCAACGTCGATAATCTGTTCTAACCGAAATGGTCTCCATAAGGAATGGTCTGTTCCTTCCATGATCCCAGTATTGTCAAATAATACTCACCAACTTATGTGAACGTCTTGTTGTTTAAAAATTTTTATTTTTTTATTTATTTATAAATATATATAATGTTAGCTGAAAAACAGTCAATACAAACTAACGTTTTAGGGAAAACAAATTTAGATGGCTTATGCAAAGTAAAGAAAGACTATACAGAGAATAATTGCTTACAATACAATTAACTTAGCTAGCTTATCTTAACTACTAAACTAAGTAAAAGTGGTACCAGATATTTAATTCGATAGTTTCTCAATAACAAAAATGTAAGAACATTCATTTTCCATTAGAAACTAATAATAAACTTAGTTTAGGATCAATAACGTAGATAGGAAAAAGAAGAAATTATATTGTAAGGGACTAATTTGCCCATTAACCTGTTGCTGGGGTAGCTCAGCGGCTTCAGGTTGTATCTCACAAGAAATTTCGCCGAAGTGGTTCTTAGAGAAGAAAATTATGGTTCAGGATTTCTCCATAGGTTTTCCTTTCACTATATCAAAGATAAGTTTATATTTTTCCAGAGCAAATATATTTAAAGAACATTTCTTTACATTCTTCAATCTTTCTTGTATCGATAAATTCACTATTCTTAATCTAAAGGCATTAGAACCACTATTATTTTGACCACACGTCTACTCCTTCGCAATCCCCGCGGCCAACTTCCCTAACTTCCTAACCTAACTTAATTTCTAACTTACCTAAACCTCGGCTTAAAACTCATTCTTCGTAACTAACTATTCCCTCTCTTTTCTCTAACTTCTCTTTGCTTAATCCTAACTTAATCTTAGTCTAAACTTAACTCTAACATAGCCTAACTTAACTCTTACACCTGCGCCTCAGAGACGGAGAACCTGTGAAGTCAAAACGAGGGGCGACTTTGGTTCCTCACAATGTCTAGTACGTAATACGTAGTATGCTACTAGCACTTCCATAAAGAGCCTGACTGCAACTGTATCAGTCTTAATCGCGTAAGTTGAACGACGTCGAGTGCACATAACCACTGGAATCGCGTATTGAAAACAAATAATAAACACAATTGTTCAAAAACAGATACAACCTAGTGGGAAGGAACTTTCTTGATGCCCTTGATGGAATGCTAAAACCAAGCAAGAATAATGACGAAATAGCTCCTTCAGTAAGTTTCTTTAAAAAGTCTATTCCACGAACCAATCTTCTACGTTCAAGAATAGCTTAATTGATTAGAAATGAGTGATGTTCTTACAGAAGTAAGGATTAAATCACGTAAACCAAGCAGAAAAAATTTGTTTTTGGGTTGTTTCAGTCGTATCGACGTAATAATGGTAACTGGGAGACCAAGTAAAAAAAGCATATTCAACTAATGATCTCACTAGAGATGTATAGAGACTTTTTGTTCCTTACGTATCCTTACGTAATTCCTCGACCACCTTTCCATAAAACTAAGTGTCGACCTAGCTTTACATCCCACTGATTTCACGTGCAGATTAAACGTCAGTTTACCGTCAAAAACTACACCCAGTTGATACCACCCCTTGCATACGTTCATGCAGTTTGTTTAGATGAAGAAGACGTAAAAGAGAACGTCTTGTTTGAATCCCTCTCTAAGTGCCTCTGACATTATGACGTTTTCCACATTATGCAGGCAGATTAATGCAAAGACTGAAAAATTTAATTCTTATTCTCTGGTATTACGTATGTGGAAAAATGATTAAATTATTTTACCGGTAAATGAAATTTAAAAGCATTACATATGAAGTGAGGAAACTGTGATTTTATCAGAATTTCAATTGATAATCTCAAGTGTGTCAACCTGATCGACGAACTTGAAGTTTCAAGTTTTTTTCATTTTCTACTCGCTACTGGAAGATAAGTGCACTAAACTCCACGTACCATCGGAGATCATACAAATTGTATAAACACTCACACACAACTGTATTAAAGACCTTTTTATATCCTACACTACTACTATCCTCGCACTGGGTATGTTCAGTTTATGAGGACGTATTTAACGTCCAGAAGAACTTGGGATAGACTTATTTTTTATTACTGCCGTATACTTCGTCTATCCGGCTGTCCATTATGAGTTTAACCTACGGGTCGCAAAGTTTTGATATATTTTGATGAGATTAGGTACACTGACGTTACCATGAAAATGGTTCGGATCACTTATCACACAAAAATATGTGGTTTTTTAGAATTTCGCGACAAAAATCGGCGAGCAACAGCTTTTCGGTAGTCAAAAAGGATAAGACGAATTTGGAAATTTTTTGAACCCGCTGTTCTATGGAAACTAAATCTTTACATCGTAACTAAGTTTTATTATTAATTAATATAAGTTTTGCCTTAAGAGCCAATTGAACTCGACTGTTATTTGTTTAGTTGACTTTCATGTATAAGTAGAATTAAAATAAATAAATAAATAAATAAATAAACTTATGAAAATTGTAGCTTTACAGGTCATCAAGGTCGGCATAGTCAGTTAACGAAGCTTCAGTCACCGGAGCAGCCGGTCTCCTTCACCTACAGGAAGAAATACAGAGTAACATGTGAGTCAGGTAAAAAAATAATTAAAGCATACCTTAAGGGTTTTCTTCAATTAAGAATTAATTGCCTATTTTCTTCTATCTTAAAGCAAACAATTCAGTTTTTTTTTTTTTTTTTTTAGGTTTCTAGGGCAAACGTAATGCTCTTCCAGAACGTGACACTTGGGATAAATGCGTTGAATGTCCTTTAAATTGCATAGCACTGACAGTGGATTTGGGAAATGCTTGGCGTTTTCATTTTACTGCTTTAGATAATGGCGGCGGCGCTTTACTTATATCCTATCTGGTGATATTGTTTGTGCTCGGTGGGCTTATTTACTATTTAGAAATGGTTATTGGTCAATCTTCCAATCGCCGTGCAAAAAATGTTTATGATGTTTGTCCAGCTTATAATCCTTATTAACATAATACTTTCATGGATACTTTATTTTCTGCATTCATTTTAGTAGTAGAGTTAATCAAAAATAAAGCCCTTGCGATATTTGAAAAAATATAGTTCTTTTACTTCGTTTCTAATTTATCGGCACTCAAGGTTGTATATTAGCGTACTTGTATATAAATAATACCATAATAAAACTGAGTTGCTTGAATTGTTGGAATACATATTAAAAGTGATATATCCAAGAAATGCATCCATAATTAACTGTAGGTGTGCATTAATTAGGTTATCACCACTTTCAGGCTCATAATTTTCATAAGAATAAAATGCTTTATAATGTTTTTCACAATTGTGACGCCAAATGCAGATTCATTTAATATCGGTTGCGTGAGATTCAATATAACGGCAAATTGCTGTAAACTTCTCAATACTACATAAGTGACGCTTAACAGCTGTGCTTACAATTTGTATTGCAAGGTGTTGGCGTGAGTCAAGCACATAATATGCGCGGATAGCTTAACATGATAATTCTCTTAGTAGATTTAAAACGTTTTAAAAGCACCTTGACATTCATAATTGTATAAGGAAACAAGCAAACGGTTTAGTTGCAAGTGAATTTGAAATTGTTGAACAATGTGTAAAATATTTGTTATTTTATTTATTTTACACTATCTTTCTGATAAAATTTGATGCATGAAGCGTTATTTTAGACTAACATTCTCTCCCTCTCCCTTTCTCTCTTTTACCGCGCTTTCATTATTTTAAGTTACAGGAGTGGGTCAAACGTATCTGGCTTACTTGTTGGGCATTTATTGTGCACTACTCTGTCCTCTTATACTCAATTATTTTGTGCAATCATTCCGCAGCCCGTTGTCATGGGCTTATTGTAAAGCGGATTGAAATTCAAATTGCATAGATTCAGCGATTGTCAAAAAATCGAAGACAAATTTAACCGAATTATGGCAACAGAAGAGATTAAGTGATGATAATCGCACTATCTCAAGTTCTGAATTATATTTTATGTAAGCGTGATTGGCTTGGATTACATAACGATTTCTTTAAACATCTTCCGTCTACAGCAAAGAAGCACTAAAGGAAAAAGAAAGCATAGGGGACGGGATTGGTGCCTCAAACTGGCAGTTAGTCTGTTTATACCTTGGTTATGTGCCTTCTACAATCGCTTGGTACCTTACGATAACAACTTTAGAAAGAAGAGCCAACTGCAAGCTTTAGAATAAAGAGAATTTTATTGTTTGCGAATAAACTAGTAGTAGTTGCGAGGTAATGGCTTCGTAAGACTATCAATAATTCGCCAACTGGCGTATAGGTTGGAATATTTTAAATAAGAAGCCTATAAATGTAGACTTAAAAGAACATATGTTTCCAAGAAAGGTTGCTTGCGACGTTCTTAAAGGGGTAAATTGGTTCCATTTGTAATAAAACGTTATAGCTTGTATATAACGTTAGACAAACTCATCGCTCTTGATTTGTTTTTTTTTTTTTGTCAATACTATTTTTATTAGTTAGAGATTGACTCTTACTTTGTTGGTATTCTACTTAATACATTTTGTGCTGAAAAATGGATTGGACACTTTCACTTCCTTACTAGCTGGCTGTACTATATTTGGAATCATTGGTCATCTGGCTCATGAAGTCGGTACCGATGATATTGGTAGTGTGGTTAAGGGAGACGCGGGAATATACACACTTTAAAGGGAAGCGGCCTTTTGGGTGTTACATACATTATCAAAAAAAAAAAAAAAGAAAAACAAAACCGCTATACACCATCCTTGAGTGGAGAGTATAAAAAAATATTTGGAATGAATTATTCTTTCTAAATAATATAACTTTGCGTTCATTTTTGCTACTGTTTAATCAAAAGATATAACTTAAGCTTAAGTGTGAGTACCCTAAGGGGTAAGAAGCGCGACTATCAAGTTAGTATTCGCGTGTTCAAATCTCAAGTGTGGTGGAGTTTATTTTGGTCGCAGCCATAGCATTCGGTAAAGGCATTTGATGGCGCTCATGCCCTGTTTGTCGTGTTACGCGAGTAGGGGACACCCCCTGAGTAATTAGTAATATTGAACAAAAAAAAGGTATTATCCGATTATAGTTACCATTAACAATCATTGACTTTGCTGAAACAGTAACAAGTGGTTAGGGACTTTTTATTCCTTTGGAATTTGTCTGAGACCCTCAAATAGTCGTCCTACTTATATTTATATAAAACCGACCGATAAACTCTTGTTAATAACACCAAGCCTTGGTTATGTTTCCTTAAAAGTCTCATAAAACTTAACTCCTATTGCAAGCCTCCGCTGTTAGGGATAGATAGAGCTATGACGCTTACGTTAAGATTTCATATAATAAACCTCCAAGTTTATGAGATATCAGATTGAGAGAGATCTCAAGTAGTTATGCTGAGATTAGTTGAAGATAATTTTTTTTTTAATTAAAAGTTTTTTATTTCCAAACAAGATCGTCATGAGGTGTCCTGTACTCTAGTACACTCTTAATTGATTCGATAAATTGAATCGACAACCAAACTGCTAAAATGAACCTCGTCACGAAAATGCTCTCCATAAAAAAACAAAAGCAAACTTACGTAGAAAAGTTAAGGTTTTGTTTATATGTTTTTGTTATTAAACAGAAAAATTTGTGTTAACTTGTTCAACCTAAACACGTGAGCGTAAGAGACTACGTTTAACAATCAACCAATCAAGCCATCAAGAATGAATGGTGAGTAAAAAAAGATTTTTCTTGAATGAGATCGCGAGAGAGAAGCTCACAGTTTTCAAACACTTGTTAAATATCATATAATGCTGAGTTTCAATTAACCGAAGTTCAGTTACGATTTAAACTTGGTGCGCGCTAGTTGAAAATATATACATATATATATATATATATAAGAAGCGAAAAAGAGGAGCAAACCGATGGAGAAAAGTTACGGAAATGAGAAGACATTTTTTTTTTTTTAAATATAATTAAAAACTAAATAAAAAGCATTTTTAACTGTGATATTATAATTAACCGTTACTTTATATTTAATCTAAAAATATCAAAGAAAAGAAAAAAAAAAAAAAAGAAAACAGAAGAAAAACATTATAAAAAATTTTGTCTGATTTAAACAAGAAACGTGTCGTTGTTTGTTGGCCTTTCATTTACAATAAAGCGGTTTTAACCGATTTTAACCAACACAATACCTTGTTTGTAAGCCTTGTGAGTTAAAATTTGGCAAAAATAAGGTAATTTGGCAGTTTTATTTATTTATTTTTTTTTTTTTTTTTTTCATTTTTCCAAAAAATTATTAATTCTTTTTGGAAATGACGCTAATAATATTTAGTTAAAAACTTGACTTGTTTTCTTTGTGCATCAAAGTCACGTTGAATTTTTTTTGTTTTAATAATAACAATAAATAAAACGGAAAGAGTTATAATGAGCAGTTTTTTTTTTTTTTTTTGAAGATTATAAAACGAAACCGGAACCTTTTTCTCTTATATCGATAGGGTTTTGTTTTTTTTTTCGTGGTTTAATGACCCACCACCATATTTACGCAAAGAATGAAAATAAAAAACAAAAGCAAAACAAAATTCGCTTAGAGCTCCAATTCTCGGATCAATATTTCTTTGATTAATTAACATCCGTTAAATGTTGCGCATGCTTTATGATTCATGCAATAGTTTCATATGTAAATTATGCGGTTAATTGTTTAACCGTGATCAGGTGTTCATTATACTCGCTAACATATGTCGCAAGTATATTAAATTTCTTATATTGTTCGTGTGTATTGATTGCAAAAATTCCACATAACTGAAGGCATTCTCACTGTCGTAAAACACTGTCGGGACCTTACGATTCCAAAACAGCTCGGATAAATGGTCAAGGATGAAGTGAAAGAGTGTATGGTTAGCTTATGAGTAGATATCATTTATATATACACGAAGTTGCTCTTACTTTACTCGCTTTTTTTCTAAATGTAAGCAGAAAAGGTATCTAACAGGACTACCTTTGTTACTTCCTTTGTTATGACCGTTTGATATAACAACGACCACAATAAGATCTTATTCCGCCTCATGACCAAAACATAGGCTATGAGTACAAATAGCCAAAAAAATGGTAGAAATCAAAAAGAATAGAAATTTGAAAACATTTTCACATTTTCTCGGTTAAGAATATCTTTTGGGGATTTTTATGTGCAAGTTGAATGAACAAAAAGTTTGCAGCATCCTCATCTGTAGAAATTTGATCTGAAAAAGACTTTTTATGAACAGCTGTGTTTATATTATCTGTCTTTTGTGTGATAGCTTGACAGTAAACATTCCTGAAATGAAGTAAATTCAAGTGTCACTTAAGGTGTACGCAGCTTTATAACCGGCTAAAAGCAATGCCGTGTAATATCAACTTTCATCTCCTTTGTAATATCCAGTAATCCAGATATCACAAAGGCGACATATCAAGATTAATTTGTCGATCATTTATTCTTCTAAATCTTTCCGTCATTAAATGAGAGATACGAAGAAAACAATACAAATTCAAAGATCAAGTGAAAAAATAGTCATATGAACCCTATTAAGAGAACTATCGACCGAACCGAAAAAACTTGTTTACAATTCTGTTGTTAATAATATGTGATCTATGGCGAATATATGACCAAAATTCGGTTCGAGTTTAATGATAAAAATCGATAATAATTAAAAGCATTTTGCAATTTATATGAAATAGCTTGAGATTACAGGTATCCAAGATTCGCCGCAAGGTATTTGCAGCGTTATTAACTGTTTTTTTTTTCTTTTTGTTGAATTGTAATTTTTAATTATTTCACTATTATTAAACATTTATTCAACATATATTTAATCGCTTATTTTGCCATCAGCTACCGCATGAATTTTATCATATAAGGTTTTGGGACCGTTCTTCCTTGTGTAAATTAATGACAGCAACAATAACAAGAAAAATCACAGAGTACACAGGTACAACATTGACATAATCAGATTTAATGCTATTTTGATTATAGTTTAACTTCAACTTTCAAAATAAACGAAATACAATAGCAATCGTAGTAAAGCTTTGCTTACTTTACGTTGATTGAGAAATTGAAACACGTTTTCTGTTTTGTCTTTGTAAGCAACAAATGGTTGTTTGCTCGTTTTTGGGTTAACGGGAGACTTGAAGTTAATATACAAACACGTCTTATAAATAGTAATTCTTTTACGCACACACACACAAACTCGCATCGAGTTCAAATGTCATCAGAATGTATGTAAAAGTTTTCTTTGTTGATTATTATGTTTTTAGACCTGCCACCGAAGGGTGAGGGATATGCACATTTTCTCCAAACCTTTGTAACCCAGCCCACAAAGAAGCTTCAGAGACCACAGTACACAGTATATATATTCTTGATTAGCATCAAATTGTGAATCGATTTAATCATGTTCGTCTGTGTAGTGTCTGTTGTAAACATTCTGCTGGCCTCAAAAATAAAAAAACTGTTGAGTTCAAGTTTGGACCAAACCAGTCGAAAGGCAGGTCTAAACTACTACCAATACCTATGTTTTTCAAAACGAAACAAAAATTGGGGTTTTTGCTCATTGTTCATAAACTGCAAGAGGACGTACACAAAAATGGGAAAGATTGACCATGCCTAGGTAATATTGCAGTGCTTTAAAGTGTATAAATTCTGGGCCAGTTTCAAATTTGGAATGCACCTAAGCAAGTACGTCTAATCGTCTGACCCTCTGTCCGTCTGCCCAAGTGTGTAGTATCTGCGGTTATCATTCTCTCGTTAGGGAAAACGAAGATATCCGGCAAGTGTTCTAAATTTTTGAAAGGCGCTCATACGCCTACACAACAAAAACTGAGGAAACGTTCGTTTGCCGACGTTTTTGGTCGTTACACATACACTACAACCGAAACTCGATATATATTTCGACTTTTATTCTGAAAATAAAAAAATCAGTCTTTCTGTTCCTTTTATTTTTTTAGTCCTTCTTAGGACACCTATTAGGGTATACAAGATTCGAGCACGATCGAATATAACTTTCTTACTTGTCTTAAAATAAATTTTTGGTAAATTATTAGATTCAAACTGCTTCGTTTTTTCTTTGCTTTAGGCCGTCTTGGGGAGGGGGGGTTTAATTTTGATAGAGCACGTAATTTATATCGTAGTTGAAATAAAAACCTGATAAAAAAAGAAAGAAATAATAGAAAACAATTAAGAAAGTTACATTTGCTAAAGAAGTTTTTACACTTACTACCTAAGGGTATAAGTGGTGTGAAGTTGATGAAGCTATAATACATTTTTTCCTAAACTTTAACTGGATATTTACTCGCCGTTCATAGTTTTCTTTCTTGTGAAATTAGTTTTAACTTTTCAACCTTGATTTTAATCAAATTTGCTATTTAAGCTATCATCGATTTGAGAATTGTAGTAGTGAAGAAGTAGACACAAAGAATCATCATTTTACTCCGATTAAGTATATATATGCTATGTGGAATGGTCTCTCAATCCATGCGTTGGTTTCGCTTGATCAGGCGATGCTCTGTGCCAGCCAGAATAAAATGAAGACAATGGTCTTGCTTAACTGACAATAAAACAAATATCCTCAGATAAATATTAAAACTCTTGAGCGATAACAATATTCATTCATTGCTTTATGTGGCGATATAATCCCGTGACTTCTTTTTTATATTGGCTTAAATCCCCTGTACGTGCAATGGTACGGTTATGGTCAGGAAAAAAAAGAAACGGGGAGGGATAAAGATTGGCCGCAGCTCAATTTTAAGACTTACCCCTTTACCGACTGATCCCTTACTCTAAATACGACCAACAACTGAGATTTGAAACCGCGACTTGGTAGTTGCGACTCGAATTTGCTCAGCTATAGCGCAGCCAAATGAACACTTAAATAGTTAAGAAGATGATTTTGCGGTAGTGTTCTAAGTTCATTATTGCGCGTGTAAAATTATGGCCTGAAAGAGTTACGCTAAAGAAAGTTAAGCCATGTCTCCGTTTTCGTTTCAGTAAATCTGAAAAAAACTCTTCCAGCGTTGCCTAAGGGTTGCATATTCACATGTAAATAGGTAAGCCTTTTATACCGTGCACCGCTTGTAGCACAAGCGTATATTAACTTTATGCGGCTATATACAATACCTAGAAGGACTTGATTATTTGTCCGATCTAAGCTTACCTATCCGTCTGTCTGTCTTGTGTTGTCGGTCTATAGGCCGATGAAATTTGGTACACTCACGTGTCTTAGAATAAGGACGAACGCTTTTGAAAATGGTTCAGATCGGAGCACTTTTTCGATCTCTTCTCATATAACGCTCTACTTTGGAAAAGTTGATATATGAATAATTGTTCGTAGGTGCAGAATATTTAATAGTGTGTCATGTTCCACTACAGTCGTCTTACTTTCTTTATGTAACTTTAGAAAAAAATAGATCTAGCTTTAGTGCCCTTTAAGCTGATCAGATATTACAAGAATTATCATTTTTGCGTATATTAGTCTGTTACTCATCCTTACTGGATCTCAGAACAATACCTCTATTAGTAGTTTTTTATCAGAGAATGGATTTTTTTTTAATTTTATATTT